TTGATAAGTGGGTGCCTCACAAGCTGACTGCAAATTCAAAAAAATTGTTTTGAAGTTTTGTCTTCTCTTATTCTATAGAACAGCAATGAACCATTTCTCGACTGGATTGTGACATGCAATGAAAAAGTGGATTTTATACAATGACCCGTGACAACCAGCTCAGGTTGGACCAAGAAGAAGCTCCAAAGCACTTCCTAAAGCCAAACTTGCACCAAAAAAAGGGTCATGGGTCACTGTTTGGTGGTTTGCTGCTGATCTGACCCACTACAGTTTTCTGAATCCTGGCAAAATCATTATACCTGAGAAGTATGCTCAGCAAATTGATGAGATGCACTGAAAACTGCAATGCCTGCAACCACCAATGGTCAACAGAATGGACCCAGTTCTTCTCCACCACAATGCCCAACTGCACATCACAATCAATGCTTCAGAAGTTGAATGAATTGGGCTATGAAGTTTTGCCTTATCTGCGATATTCACCTGACCTCTCACCAACCAACTACTAGTTCTTCAAGCATCCTGACAACTTTTTGCAGGGAAAATGCTTCCACAACCAGCAGGAAGCACAGAATACTTTCCAAGTGTTTGTCAAATCCTGAAGCATGGATTTTTATGCTACAGGTATAAACAAACTTATTTCTCATTGGCAAAAATGTGTTGATTGTAATGGTTCCTATTTTGATTAATAAAGATGTGTTTGACCCTAGTTATAATGATTTAAAATTCACGGTCTGAAAGCACAATTACCTTTTCACCAACCTAATATTAACATTAAAGAAAATTTTATATGTTTCACAGTCCTATCAGTTGCTGCAAAAGAATTTGATAACATTCTGTCATCAAGGTCATTCATTTCTAGCACTGTGACAAACCCCAGGCATGACTATTATAAAAGCAAAGTAAATTAAGCATACTATCTAAAGTAAGGTGAAAACTGTAGGGTTGTTCTTTTCCCCTTTGGACTTCTTTTCCCTGCATATTACATTGTAACTATATATCAGTGAAATATTTTTGACCTGGATTATAGATTGAATTACACAATAGGACAATTTACCTGTGGGAGTGAGTTAGCATGGAAATCTGAATTTTGAAATACAAAATTTTCTTTTTAATGAATTTATTTTTGACAGTGCTGGGTCTTTGTTGCTGTGAGGGCTTTTCTCTAGGTGTGGCGGGCAGACTTCTCATTGCAGTGGCTTCTCTTGTTGTGGAGCATGGGCTCAACAGCTGCAGCTCCTGGGCTCCAGGGCACAAGTGTAAGGCAAAACTTCAATAGTTGTGGTGCACAGGCTTAGTTGCTCTACAGCATGTGGGATTTTCCCAGACCAGGGATCAAACTTGCGTCTCCTGCATTGGCAGGCAGGCTTTCAGGGAAGCCCCAAAAGTTTTAATTAATCTGATTTCAAGTTTTTAAAAAATTTATTATAAGATATAGAAAACACATAAGTTGTTGCTCAGCTGCTCAGTCATGTCCGACTCTTTGCGGCCGCATGGACTGCAGCACACCAGGCTCCCCTGTCCTTCACTATCTCCCAGAGCTTGCTCAAACTTGAGTCTATTGAATTCAATTGGTGATGCCATCCAGCCATCTCCTCTGTCATCCTGCCCCCACTCCTCCTGCCTTCAATCTTTCCCAGCATCAGGGTCTTTTCTAATGAGTCAGCTCTTCGCATCAGATGGGCAAAGTATTGGAGGTTCAGCTTCAGCATCAATACTTCCAATGAATATGCAGGGTTGATTTCCTTTAGGATTGACTGGTTTAAGTGGACAGCTCAGTGGTATTAAATATTCGCATGTTGTGCAACCATCACCGTGACCCATTTTCAGAACTTCTCCATTGTACAAATTGAAACTCTGTACCATTAATAACTTCCCATTCACCCCTCTCTCCAGCCTCTGGTAACCTCTATTATCCTTTCTGAAGCTATGAATTTACTTACTCTAGGTCTCTTACAAAACTAGAATCCTACAACATTTGTCCTTTTGTGTCTTGTTTATTTCACTTACTATAATGTTTTCAAGGCTCATCTGTATAACGTGTCAGTATTTAATTCCTTTTTAAGACTGAATATTTCATTGTATGTAGATATTTTATTTTTTCATTCATCTCTTAACAGATATTCGAATTATCTCCACCCTTCTGTGATTGTGGATATTGCTGCTACGAATGTGGGTGTATAATTATTTGTTTGAGGTCTTGCTTTCAATTCATTTGGGAATTGAAGTTCAAAATTCTATTTTTAACTTTTTGAGGAATTAATCTTATTTTAAAACTAATAAGAAACATAAAATTCCTCTGGGTTTTCTGTGTTCAAATTTTGAGACTCAAACTCAATCCAACCAGCAGCTTCCTTTGGGTCCAGAAGCTCAGCAATGATCAGAAATGGGACGTTGGGGAGGCAGCCACAAGAACTATTAATATTCCAGTGGCTGTGTGAGGCACGGCCTTGTCTCCCGCCTGAGAGGGACCATCAGTGCATGCTGACTTTGTCAAAGGAAGTCAAAGCATTTGAAGGGCACTTCCACTCTCCCTGATGCCTCAGATGGTAAAGAATCTGCCCAAGTTCAGCCCCTGGGTCGGGAAGATTCCCTGGAGAAGGAAATGGCAACCCACTCCAGTATCCTTGCTATAGTCCACAGGGGAGCAGAGAGTCAGACATGACTACGACTGACAGACTAACACATCAAGCCTTACTTCTCCTCTCTAGCTAATAAAAAGAATGAAGGGTGACTGGACAAGAAAAAGCCACACACCAGAAGACAAAAGCTTGGGAGGAATTTGAAGAGGCACCTACCTCCAAACTAGTTCTGGGATAATGGAACATGGAAGAATGCTGTCATCACTTGGGGTTCAGTGGTTTATGGCAGGTCTGGGCAGGTTGGAAGCCACCAGGGTGGGACTGGAGGAGGGCAGATTTGGTTGCAGTTCTTTCCAGGTGCGGTCCAGGTAAACAGGGGTGTGTGTTGGGGCTGAACAGTGAAGGGCCAGGCTGGGGTGGGGGAGGTGGTGCACGTATCAGACACCACAGGGTATAAACTTGGAGGATGCTTGATAAATGCAAGTTTTTAATTGTACTTATCAATGCAGTATTTACTCAGTTTCTGCAACTTTCCTTCCATCTAATCTATCCATCACATCCTTACCAGACAAATCTTTGAAAATCACCACTTGGCACTGACACCTCTCAGTTCAAACTCTTTTACTGGCTGCCCATTAATTATAATCATTGCCTCTCAAGCTTGGATAAGAGTAGCCCCAAGGTCATTCAGCTGAGGCAGAAAGACCGAAGATAAACCCGGAGAAGCTCTGGCAGCACCAATTTTACTGGAAAAAGCTTAAGGCCAAGCATGACTGTTACATCAGAATAAACACGGGGAATATTTAGAATACAGTGATATTTACATGCAAGTTATGGATGAAACCCTCTTTCAAGTGGAACTTGGAGCTTGGCCTCTATGCACACTGTACCACAAGAATAAACTGACTTATTCTAGCATCATGCCGCCACCTTGGTAGAATGTGGGGTGGGAGGGCACAATTAAACTCCAAACTCCCTAATCGGGTCAGTTAGAACTGCTCCCCCCTCCTCCCTCACCCAGAGCCATCTGTCCGACTGGTTCATGACCTGCAAAGGTCACGTCACTTTGCTTTTTTTGCTGCTTCTGCTTCTAGTTAAAGGCACCCTGAACTTTTGGACAAGGCATCCTGCTCTGTCCCTTTTGGCACGTTAATCCCTTTGCCTCAGTTTTCTCACCTGGTTAACAGCAGGGTTGTGGGGGAGGTTTTCAAGAGTTAACAGGGTATTTACATTTCAGTGTCTGGCTAGCCGCGTGCTCTTTGTGCTGTACGTGTTAGGCAGCCTACTGTTACCTCCTTCTACCTGAAGACCGCCTATTCTCTGGCCTAGAAACCATTCCGGTCTTAACCCCCTCAACGTGGCGCAGCCCAAGCTCACCTGGTCCTTTGCACATGCTGTTAAGAGAAGCTCCCCACCTCATCCCTTACAGTCAATTTTAGAACCAGCTCAGATGTAAAGAATAAGGTGAAAGGCTGAGCATCTGTTTTTAATTTGTTTCGCTTTACGGAAACTGCCAGCGTATCGAGGTAAGAAAAACGCGTAATAGCGACGTATTGACCAATCTCGAATCCGCGGAAGCGGTAAAACCTTAAAGAGAGGAGAGTGTGTTTCAGGTGTGCCTCCACGCGCCACGTTCCCCATGGAGCGACTCTCCTCGCAGTAACACGCGCCGGTGCCTCCGTCTCTCGGGCGAGCGCTGCTTTGGGAAGGAAGACCAGACTGCCACTGCATGATTCCCCCCGCCCCCTTAAATTCAGCAACCCCAAGTAATCTCTGCCTTCGCATGGAGCGTGCCCTGCCGCCTTCCCGCAGGCCCACGCTGCTAGGATAGCCCGGCAGACCCCACCCCGGGATTTCGACCCCCGCTCCAGCCTCCAGGTGCGCCGGAAGCGACTTCCACCTGGATGCCCTTGGCCTCCCGTTTCGGGCCGGTCCCCGCGAGGGGCGGAGCTCGGCCCGCCCCGCCTCGCCGTCAGCCGACCGTGTGGCAGCCGGGCGGGGGCCGGGAAGGGGAGAGAAGGGGAGGAGTGAGGAGAGGAGGAAAGTGGAGCCCGGCGGGCCGGAGCGAGGAAAGGAAGGGAAGGGGTGGAGGCGACTGGCAAGAGTTTGCCGGCGCGCGGGGGAGCCTCCGCCCGGGACGCGCCCCGGAGCCAGAGTCGCGGCCGAGGCGCGGAGTCTGCCGTCCCGCCTCTGCCCAGACCGCCCGCCGGGGCAGTCCCGAGCGGCGACACCCCGGGCGTCCCGGCCGGCGAGCCGGCGCAGCGGCGGCCCCGGGACTCGGCGGCAAGCGCTACGGGAGGGATGGTGGCGGCGGGGCGCGGGCCAGAGCAGCCGCCCCCGCCTCCCGTCCGGCCGCGGCCCCCGGCCGCAAGCCCCCGCGGAGTCCGCCGCCCGCGCAGCCGCTGAGCCGGACGCCCCACCATGCCGCGGGCCCCCGCGCTCCTGTACTCCTGCCTCCTCGGGCTTTGCGCGCTAGTGCCGCGGCTCCCAGGTAAGCCACGCCGCCCGCTGTGCAGAAAGAAACTTCGTGGCGCCCCGAGCCGCCCGCCGGCCTCTTGGAGGGGCAGGGGCCAGGGCAGTTGTCGGAAGGTGGGAGGCGTGCTCGGGGACACCCCCAGGTGGCGAGCTGCCGGGGACGACCGGTTGGGGGGCTTTCAGGCTGCGTGCGCCACCCCGCGCGCGGCCCGCCGCAGCCCTGCTGGGCTGTCGTCGGCCCCTGGTCCCCTCCCGGGCGAGGAGGAGCCTTCCTGTGTAAACAGCCCTGCCCGTCTGCTGACCTAGCCCTCGAGCGCCCGCGCCCAGTGCGCCGGGAGGGCCGCCACCAGCCCCGCGTCGGGATCCGGGCTCTGCAACTCCCGGCACAAAGCGGCCCTTGTGGCCGGCCCGGGGCGGCCGGGCTGCTGGGAGGCGCCGGGTGATGCAGCCGGTGCCCTGATCGCGGGGAGCGAGGGGTAACTAGAGGCGCGTGACCCGGAGCCAAAGCGTGGGGTTCACGGCTACTCTCGAGGGCTAGACTCTTGCAAGCGTGGATGCCCAGGGTCTCCTGGCGAATCCTAGTTTCACCCCGCCTAGGCCAGCCGCCTTTCTTTAAAGATGTAAACACCCCTTCCTCCCCCAAGCTCCCTCATACCCGAGGGAAGACCCGCGTCCGAAACCACAGCCCCACCTGGGATCTCGCGATCCACTTCCTTCTGCCTGGCTTTATTTCGGAGTTTACAAACACCCCGTGCGGCGTACTCCCCCTGATTCTGGAGGATTCTGGAGCAGGGGGTGTGCAGTTGCACTCGCGCGATTCTGCTCTGGGCTGGCGGCTGTGTGAGGACCCTCAGTTATCTGCTTTAGGTTTTCAGAGTGGGGAGACTGCTGAGGAAGGGTGCTCTGTTGGCGCTGGGGATGGCTGGCAGAAGGAGCTACCCCCACCCCATCCCTTCTAAAAGCAGGAACCTCCAGACTTTCTCTTTTCCGGTAGGAGATAATTGTGTTGAGATGCTCCGTTCACTTTCAAGCCCGAGATTCTTCATTGCTGTTCCGAACCATGTGCCTGGCTAAGAGGGAGGGAAGGACGGTCTCCTGCCGAGTTTCATTTACATGAAGGCAGTGGAGGTTGCTGTCTGAGAGGAGAGGTCTAGACGAAAACTTTTTTAGGCGGTATTTCAGACTTATTGCTGTAACAGGTTTCTTTCATCAGTCCAGAGCTTGGAGTGGATCACTGGTTTCCAAACACCCATCTGGCAAGCAGTGCCTATTGCTCATGGGTCCCCAGGAAAGGGCAAAGAGAGAGAGATAGCCTGTGTCATACACAGGAATATATTATTGCCAACAGCCCCCTGCTTCACAAGGACTGTCCTTTAATTTGAAATTCTTTTTTATTTTTAGGAAAAATTTTTAAAATAATTTGTAGTGATAACAGGGTAGTTTTTCATTTTGAGCAAACGAAAAAATCGGCAATCCTATGTAAATTTTACCTTCTCTTTTTGTTTTCTTTTTAAATCATAATCTGTGAAATACAAACGTTTAGGAACCGCTGAAGGAGGTGATTTCTTAGTTTGCTTACAGGTTGACATCCTGGTTCTGATAAAAACTTAAATAAGTCCAGTTGCAAATAATTCTTTCAATCCATTATTTTCCATTTGCATTGTGATTTCTGCTTTTCAGAGTTCATATATTTCTTCTTAATGATCTCCATCTTTGGGGTTGGCCCAGGAGAGTGAAGTGATTTGCCCACTGTCCTTGTCCGTAGGCCTCATAACTTTTTGGCTTAGGGCCCTTTGTCCTGCACAACACAGTTTAGGTAGGGAAAAAACATTGAGCCCACAGTGGTTTATTTCCAGTGCTGTCTCTTCTCCTGCAATTGCCTTAGAGCTCAGCCATCCCTGCATGGATCAGCAGAGCAGTGGGAGAGCAAGCCCATCACTGGCTTCCAGACCTGGCCACCTCCCTCTTAATGCCCTGGAGCTTCTCAAGGTTACCAGGGACTGACACATATCTGTGTGATTTCTCCTAGTTTCCAGTGTTGCTGAGCCAACTGCAAACTTTCAAACTGCATGTCAGAAACAGCTTTTCTTTTCCTTCCCTTGTCTTCTCTTTTTATTGAAGTACTGCAGGTACTTTATCCAATTTGTGTTCTGCTACTAGGACAGAATTTGACAGAAAAACCTTCATTACCCACTAAGAGAAAAAGGTGATCTGCAGGGTCCTGCCTGCCTGGGTGTCCCTAGATCAGTGGTTAAGTTGCCAGTCTATTGCTTTGCACTGCTTTCGTCTGTGTGTTTAATCCAGCAGGAAACAGACTTTTAATTTAAGGGGGCTGACTTCAAACAAGTCCCCAGCAGGCTGACAACCCCCCATCCCAGAGTTCTCTGCTCTCCTTATTAGCAAAGACCTCCAGACAGGACCCGAGGAAGGGTTTCTCTTCGGGGAGGCCCTTGCTCTCTACTAAGGAGGGGGGAGTGTGGCATTGACTGGGCTGCAGAACTGGAGTCATGTTTGCCGTCATAGTTTATTAAAAGAAAAAAAAAATCAAATGTTCTTTTAGTGAATGCCCTGCACATTAGAATGCTCTAAATCCTAGGAGAGCCCTTTATCCTATTTACTGGACTCCTGTTGGCAGCACTCCCCCGCCGCCACGATTTCCGTGGTCTGTGATGGGGCTGTTGGAATTTGGCCTTGGGTTTGCAGCTCTCAGGTAACCAGGCAAAGGTTTAGAAATGCAAACCAGGGGGTTTGGTGGGTCGGCTGCTGTTTACCCTAGGTATTTACACTTTAGCGCCATCATCCTTGAATTAGGGGGACTTTTAATAAAGGAGATTGAGGCAAAAGAGGGCAGGGTCTAATTAGCTCTAATTAGTATTCCTCTCCTGCTTGTTCTCCATGCTTATTTAGCTACTGAGGCAACGGAGAATGAATATATCTAAGTAGTTGGCAAAAGGCCCTTTGTGCCTGCCTACCCTGGTAACTACTTTTTCTTCTCCAGCCAGCTCACGGAAATATTCTGAAGTTTTAATGTAATGTGGGACGATTACCTAGTGCTTAAATGATAATACCCCGTTCACGTGGCAGTGAGCAGCCGGGTTAATGGGGGTGGGGTCGCATCCCAGGTATTTTCAATACACTGGGACTGAAGGCTGTGATGTGTTTCTTCTTTCAAGCTGAAATGAGATTAATGGCCTTTATGAATGTAAAGGAACACTTCATAGGCACCCATTTGTTTGTGAGGCGGCTTCTTCTATTGATTGCAGGGTTTGATTCCTGGGCCACATGGGGAAAAGTTTGCTTCCAGGGAAGGCCTGACACCTTCCCTGTGGCAAATGCTAGTTCCCGCCCCCACCAGAGTTTTTCAAAAATAGTTGCTTGTCTCTTGTAGAGTTATACTCAACTCTTACTCAGAATGATCCAGTTAAAACTCAACTTAGATTGTGTTACTCTGCCTAAAATCCTCCTGTGGCTTCCAGAAGTCCTGCCAGGGTCCTGCCAGGCTCTGCATGAACACCCCCTGACCGCCCCCTCCCCCGCCCCCACCTAACTAACCCCCTCTCACTACTTCCCCTCACGCACTTCAATCCCATCACTGTTCTTCGGGCTGGATCAGGCCTTCCCGCTGCCTGGAATGTTCTCCCTGCCGATTTCTGCATGGCAGGCATCCACAGCGTTTTCTCAGCGTGTCTACTCAGGCAGACTGCAGCCTCCTGCCTCACTTTCTTCCTATCTCCTTGCCTTCCTTGATTTTTCTCCTTAGCACTTACCACCATCTAGTGTACTTGCATATCTGGTTTATTGTTCATCTTCTCCTCTGAGCATTCAGCCCCCAATCAGGACGTAAACTCCCTGAAAGCAGGGAGTTTTGTTGGTTTTATTTGTCATTGTATTCATCTGTGCTTAGAACAGTGCCTTAATAATACTTGTTGAATGAATGGATGGACCCAAGTTTTGGTATTTTGTATGCGTGTGTGTGTTGGAGGCAGAGTGACCCATCCTCACCTCCTTGCTGCCTTCTACAGCTAGCTTTGAGGTCAGAGACTATGCATGCAGCTTGTTAGGAAGAAACAGTTGCGCGCGCGAGAGAACTCATTTGAGTCTGTCAAGATTTTTTTGAGCTGGCACCTATGATACAGGTTGTTTTAGTCACCCTTGAATTGTTTGCAGGGAGATGCTAAGGCCAGGAAAAGTTGTGACTTGCCCAAGGTCATGTAGTCAATACGTGACAGAACAATCTCTTGGATCTTTCATGCCAGGATATCCTCTCCTTATCACATAACTCCAGCCCAGTGTCCTGTCCTCTGTGAAGCCTTGTCTGCATCCCTTGGGTGGAGCAGAGTGGGCCTCTCCTTCCCTCCCTCTCATTGCATATTCTTTTAGAGAAGGCTGGAAGTTGGAGGGGAGCAATAAGGTGAATTGCCCGACTCACAAAACAACAGCAAAAACAACACTTACCTTTAGGTCCCTGATATGGACAGAATGATTGGTACTGGGTTGATTCCTGCCCCCCTCCCCTCTCCCACCATGATTTCAATGATCTTTAAAAAAAAAAACACCTTTAACTTTTTAAATATGTAAAACAGTTTTAGATTTATGGGAAAACTGAGATCTTAGTACGGGAGTTCTCATATGCCCCAATTCCAGCTTTGCCTGTTGTTTGCATGTTGCATTCATATGGCATATTTGTACAATTCATGAACCACATCAATATGTTGTTATTAACTAAAACCATACTTAGATTCTCTTAGTTTAAATCTGATGTTCTTTTTCTGTTCTAGGAGCCCATGCAGGACACCGTATTACACTGAGTTGTCATGTCTCCATAGGCTCCTCTTGGTTGTGACAGTTTTTCTGTCTTGCAATGACCTTGACATTTTTGAGGTGGTATTTTGTAGATAGTCCCTCCACTGGGGTTTATCTGTTTTTTTAATGATGAGACTGGAGTTATGAATTTTTAGAGGAAGATCATATAAGTAGTCAGTTGTCTTTTTAAAGCTGAATTTTGAATAGGTAATCGGTTCACATACTTTTTAAAAGCATAGCCAGTGTAGGGTGAGAGATTGCTCTTTCATTCTTGTGCTGGTTAGTCTAGGACATTACCCTGACTTCCTTCCCTGCTCAGACCATCCCTGTCAGTTTCTTATGGATCCATAGTGTTTTTTCTATTTTTATTACAAATCTCCCTCCCCTAGTTTTATTAAAGGAAGCCCTAAACACACCATTCTGCACCTTGCCTTTATGTTAACTTAGTGATAACTGTCTCAGAGTGAGCTTCATACCAGTATGCAGGGAATAGAGAGCACGCACATTCTTTTTTAAAGCTGCGTACTATCCTGTATATGAACCGATGTTTTTTAAGCAACAAATCATGTCTGTAAAGGTGACGTTGTTGAATGTTCTGTAGATGTCTGGTGTTCCGAAAGGCAGGAAAGGTATGAACGAGACAGATCCTTTCTAGGGTGTATTTACACTTTGTGGTAACATCTTTAGACCGATGACTATTTAATTGCTAGATTCAGCACTGGAAAGACTTTGTCTATCATGTGACACATGAGTGGCTGTGGTTCAGGGCATGGGGAGAAGCACTCCAGTGCCTTACCACTTTTTTCCCCCCAACAGCAATGATGAGATGTTTTTGTTTTCTGTTGTCTTGAAAACAATGAGTAAAATGTAACTCAGGATTGTTTCCTTTCCTGGCTTCTCAGTTGTGTCATGAAGGTGGTTGCACAGACATTAGCAGCAGGGTCTGTTCTTGTCTCTGTGCTTTCCTGGGTGAGTGCACACCCTACTTGCTCGCTGTATGTTTCCCACTATTCCCAGTGAGTAGTGTCATGTCTTCTCTCTCCCTGCCATTAGGCCTGCTTCGTCCTGGGACTCACCTCTATTATCCCATGGAGTGTTTTAGATCAGGAAATTCCAACTACTGGAGGTGTGCGTCAGTGGGTGCTGTGTAACCTTGGCCATGTTGGGTAGAGGTGTGGAGAGGTTGAATGGAGGGAGGCCAGCCAGGAGGTGACCGCAGAAACCTGTGGAGGGCCTGGCTTGGGCTGTGTGGGGCTGGAGAAGGGTGCAGGCAGGAAGGGTTGGATTAGGAGAAACATTTCGTGCATCTGGAAGGAAGGATCAGTCTGGATAAGATTGATAACGGGGAGGGATGAGTCATTGAATTTCGGAAGGAGAGCGTGTTTTCAGATGATGGTTTGCAGTAAACCCCTGGCTTTAGAGACATTAGGGGCTGCAGGCAATTGACATTGAGCTGGGAATGGTCACTCTGCAAACAGTAACCAAGAAAAGTTGTGGTCACTGTCTGGGCCGCTAGCACCTATTACCATGACATAGACATAACACGCTGACATTTGTGAACTGCGACTGTTTAACATTTTTATTCATTACTTCCTTCCTTTCAAAGTGCTATTGGTTTCAAATGACTCATCCAGCTAAATCCAAACTCACTGAAATATTAATAGGTGGAGGGAGGAGAGATGCCAAAGGGAGTAGCACTGGCACTGTGGCACATGTCAGCACATGGTCTATGCTTTTGGTTCCCAGAGTGCCTGGCAGGACTGGCATGACCTGTCCCTGGCAGCTGTGAGCGCCCAGGGAGCACAGCCTGGGTCATTCAACTCTGTGTCTCTAGCATCCCCTAGACCAGTACTTGGCGTTTAGGACTTGCATAGAGCAGGGGTTTCTTGAATTTGAATTTGTCTCAACAGCAACCTATTTTATTTTTATATTTTAAAATTACCTTTTTATACAGTTTTTAAAGGTTACTTTCCATTTCGTTATTACAAAATATAGCAACCTGATTTTAGTGGAGTCACCGTCAGTGCCATGAAACTACTATTGCATGTGAATAAGAAGTAACAGAAATGACTAAGAATGTAGTATGGCAGATATTTTACAGTTGTTCAGTATGTTTTATACCAGATGCCTGTCACATCTGTGGAGCCTCTTCAGGATTTTGTCCAAGGTCTTTTAGGCTGACAAAGCAGAAGATCAGAGCCCAGTGTGATATGGGTCAGAGAGGAGGAGCCCTTAATGCTCTGAACCCAAGATCTCTGATCCAAGGTCCCGGACCTCAGTGATGAGGCCCTGGTAATTAGAAAGTGGTGTTTGTGAATTAATGTGAGTTGGGGCAGAGACATAATTGAGACATCCAATCTTAAATTCCTTTCTGACGAGGGCCTGTTGAACATCTCCTTCAGAGGACCCTGGAACTCACTGGTCACATGGCCCATGTCTGGGTGGCACAGGGACCCCATATGGGTACTTGCTTGCTGGTGCCCCTTCTGGCCTCTTATTGGAAGTCTGGGCTCCTTGTTATTTTTTTCTCGTGTTTTCAGCTGTAAAATGAGATGACTTAGTGAGCTGATCCTAAAGAATTTCTAGCTCCAGGTTTCTGCAGTTCCATGATTTTATAGAAATGATTTATAAGGATGATTTTATGCATCCTTTATAGAAATTATTTTATATGTCAAAGCAAATGACATGCCACAAGAGCCTGAGTGTATATTTGATAAGGTTGAGGAGAACAGGAGAAAAGTCACTTTCATTCTGGGTTTGATTCTGTCCCCTGCGCAGCTAGTGGTTTCTGTCAGGTAAGGAGATTGTTGTTGTTGTTGTTTCATTTCAGTTGTCCATGTCTATTTATTTTTGGCTGCACTGGGTCTTCGTTGCTGCATACAGGCTTTCTCTAGTTACAGTGAGTACGGGACTACTCTCCAGTTGCCATGTGAGGGCTTCTCATTGTGGTGGCTTTTCTTGTTGCAGAGCAGGGGCTCTAGGGTGCACAGACATCAGTTGTTGTGGCTCCTGGGCTCAGTCGTTGTGGCTCACCGGCTTAGTCGATCCACAGCATGTGGGATGCTCCTGGATCGAACTCATGTCTCCTGCATTGGCAGGTGGACTCTTAACCACTGGACTGCCAGGGAAGTTCCCATATCTATTTATTTAATGTCAACTTTAAGCTAAATATTCTGGGGAATTTTTTTTTTTTAATTTGAAATATAGTTGATTTACAGTGTTGTGTTAATTTCTGCTGTACACTAAAGTGATTCAGGTAAAGAGATTTAACCAAACAATGAAACTGACAGTTTGAAACTTTTCCTGCAATCATTTCTCTTTTTTAATAGGCTCAGGTACCTATTTGAAAGTCTCCGAGTGGATTCATTTTAAAGTGAGAAAGGAGGTTGTCAGTGTAAGAGGTGGAAGGCAAGCCCAACCTCCCTGTGGGCTGAATTGTAACACCTTCTTGGTGAATGTTTGGACCTGCGAAGGACTCTTCTCCTGAAATGAGGCAGTGCAGGGTGATGGGTCCTGGCTTTGTTTCTCCTGTAAAATGCATTCCGAGTCCAGTGTTGTACCCAGGAGGTCCCACTGCAGGCCTGGCAGTGACATTGGGGTCCCCAGCTCTGGTGGTATGAGGTGGGGTCCCAACAGGGTGGCAGCTGGTGGAGATGAAGTGCCCAGGGTTCCACATCGGGGCCTCTGGCTGGGGAAAGCCATCATTCTCACCCTCTGTGGGCTCCCAAAGTCACCCTTCTTTCTTCCCAGGCCCTCAGGTCCTGCCAGTTTCTCCCACTTTCATTGCTTGAAAGTGGGAATGAGCTGCCATTCTCATCCCAAATGGTTTTCTCTCTAGTGCCTCAATGCAGTGACTCAGTGCAGCCTCCTGTGTCACCCGATTTCCGTAGGTTTTTTCCTGCTAGTGACAAAGAAGAATCAAGGAGTTAAAATGACCAAATTAGAGAAATGTTATAGTTTTAAGATGTCTTACAACCAATATTGTTATGTTGTTTGGTGAAGCTGGGGAAGAGTCTCAACCTCCCTGTTTTCTCTTCCACACTCTCTTGTTAATCTTACTGCCTCTGTTTTTCTCCTTTATAATCTGAGCCGTTCTTCCTAGGGCTAGTGGCCCTGGGTTTTTCTTTTTTCCATTTATCCAGTGAGCCTCTAGGCAATGACCAGAAGAGACCAGTGAGTCTGTTAGTGCTGTGAGGACCAAATAAAGTTACATCTGTTTAGGGAGAAGCCAGTAAGTATTGCTCTTGGTCAAAAGAAATTTGTCCCAGAAGGAAAAGACTTGGGTGATGATAAATTTCACCAAGGATGCCTTTGCTGTTGGGGATGGTAGTGGGAGAAGCATACGGCGGAGAAGGGAGATGGGGGAGAACGCTTTTGTCTGGTGGTTTAGTATATTCAAAGGGTCATGTGGCCATCACCATGACCACGTTTCCCTCTAGTCTTAGTTTCTGATACTTTTTTGAACATCAGGGATAGATTTTGAATGGGTGGTTTTTTAATTTGATCAAATACCTTTTTATTATCTCCCCAGGTGATATGTATTTTCTGGATCTATTAGTAGATATATTGAATTAATAGACACCCTGTATCTTAAGCTGGCATTGTATTCCTTGGTTGCATTCTTCTTTAAGGACTTTGCTGCTGTCTTTTGGTACATTATGGATTTGGTGTGACAGTACCTGCTTTAGGATTTTCTTATGTCTGAAGAAGATCAGTTCTTTTTTTTATTTGATTTTTATGCCATTTATGATATTTTGTCTGGACTAAGCATAAGGGGCCTTGTTCTCAATGAGACAGGACCTGCTGTGTCAGGAAGAAGGCAGTGGGAATCCTGGTAGGCACAGTAGAAGAAACAGGAGTTGCTAACGCAAGTGTGCACATGGTGAGTGCTTCCAAAACCGTCAGTGTTTAGCTTCTGCCAGTGAGCAAAGGCCTGCAATTAGCACAGGGGCCTGCACCCTTCAGCTTCAGGGAGGCCTCCTGTTAGAAAAGGAAGTGACTCCTCCTCCCACCCCATTCAAAATCTCATTAATAGAGTTTATGGCTGGAACCTAATGGCTGCATCTTTATCTTTCTTTGAAGGTCTCAACATATGCACTAGTGGAAGTGCCACCTCATGTGAAGAATGCCTGCTAATCCACCCAAAATGTGCCTGGTGCTCCAAAGAGGTACATAGGTGGGGGAGGGGAGGAGTGCTGTGGGAGAGGGGTGGGCTTCACCTCAGTTTCCAAGTTGACTGGGCAGAAAAAGTGTGTGCAGGTTCGGTGAGCTGCCTCTTCCTTTCTCTCAAGGCAGAGACAAAAGAAAAGCTGCATTTTTATGTTTTAATCCTGTTTTAGGGAAACAAGATCTTCTTTCCCTTTTGTAGGGGAACCAGTTATGATTCGTGTACAGTTTTCTGCTATTTGGTAAAAGACCTGAACTTATGAAGTGAGTCTTTTGCCTAATGATATAAAACATGCCTGGGTGGGTGGCCTGTTGGTGGATGCCGGTCATTGTTCAGTGGCTTATCTGAGGATGAATGTTATGAATTGGCCTTTATGGAATGGTTTTACTTGAATAGCTGCTGTTTCTTTAGACCCTGTAGGAAGGGATGTAAGCTTGGGGTGGTGATAGGCATATTGCTCTCGTAAAGCAATACAAATATCAGTGCTTGGTTGGCTAATCAGGAAATACTCAGTTTCTAAACCTACACTGCATCTTCCAAGTGACTGTTCTAGAATTTTTTTTTTCCTAGTAAAGAGTAAGATTACTAAACAAGCTACTGTGAAAGAGGACTCTTCCCAACACATGAACCCCTCATTGTACTTGAGGCTTAATGGTACTGTTTTGTTATCAACTTTAAAACCTTTCACGGATTCCTTACGACCTGCATGACAAATCCAAGTTTCATGGCCCCTGCCTGCCTCCCTACCTTTATGTCTTGCTTGCCTTCAACACTTCAGCCCCAGGGGATGACCTGAGGGTCCCCAGAGAGCCCTGCCTGATGAACACCCTCATGGTTTTCTCTGTGCTGCTTCTCCTGAAGAGCTTCCCAGATTTCCCCTCCTTCCGCTGACCGAAACCTTGTCTTCAGTTTTCAAGAGATTAGTTCAAAACTCATCTACTCCATGAAGACTTTGATGGTTTTCCCCCAGACACATCTGTTTGTCCACCCAGCCATGTTTCTGTTCATCTGTCCATCTATCTGCAATACGAATGTAAGCTCCCCCCTACCAGAATGTTAGGGCAGGGGTTTTATCTGTTTTCTTCACTGTTGAACCTCCCACACCCAGAGTGGTGCCTGGCTCATAGTATTAATAGCTGCTCAGTAAGATTGATGGAAGGATTTCACCGGGTGGCTGTTTGTTACATGTCTGCACATACAGGCCATGACCCACCACCTTTCTGTCTCCCAGTAGTTAGTCCTCTGGCAATAACACTTGTCACCTCTTACTCTGTGGATTTGTTTTCATGCCTGTTTCCAATTAAATCATTATTTCCTTGAGAATCTGTGTCTTCCTCATCTTCAAAATTGGCCAAGAATCTGGCAGGAATTCATATTTGAAAAAAGAGGCCAGCTAAAAAGACACCTTGTTTAGAAAACCAAAGTTGAAATCTCAGTTTCACCATGATTTACTGTTTCTTGGTATGTAAAATGAAGATGACCATTCCCACCCTCCAGTACTTTGGAAGTACAAAATGAGATCAATTCAGGAGAGGTCTTGTGGATGGAACTGCTAATTAACTGAGCCTCCTGTACCTTATGGATACTTTTAGAGGAATGTGAGCCTTGGTTTCTGGAAGTTGTGCTGGATTGTCAACTTTAGGTCTCTTCCTTTTCCCCCAAGTCTGATGTTCTGATACTGGTAGTATCTGATGACACCTTTTTATGTTTTGTTTTTGGCCAAGAGGCATAATATATCTTAGTTCCCCAGCCTGTTCAAGTCCATTTCCCCTCAGTTGGAAGTGTAGAGTCAACAACTGGACCACCAAGGAAATCCCAACTGATGATATCTCCAGGAGTAAATCATTGTCCTGTTCCACACCTGGGTCCCCTCTGTAGCTTACTGAGCTCTGTCTGTGCTTATAGCCTCAATCTTGGCTAAAGAACCTCCTGTGATACCTGCGTGGGAATGCAGCTTCCCATCCCCTTTGGGGGTGAACTTTCTCCAGGGCCTGAGTAGTCTCAAAGCTAAGTTTGGGGCATTCTAGACTGCCCCTTAACACAACAGGGTAAGTGTGGCTGAGTGCCTTAATCATGAATCCTGGGATGTCATCAAAGAGGCGAGGTACCTGCAGAGAGCACGTGATGTGGAGAGGCTGGTAGCCAGTAGGGGGCTGGGTCCCTAACCAGTGTGTTCTTGTGGATTCCGGGCTGCATACCACCATGGATTAACCCCCAAACACATTCCACTGAGCTCGTCTGCTTCAGATCCTACAATGGCTTTCTTGTTTACCTGGGGTGGGGGTGGGGACGCCTTACTCTGCATTTAACAAACTTGTAACCTAGAACTATCTCCCAGGTCCCCCTCCCCTTCTCTCTTCTCCCACAGGCGTGGAGTTGGAGTCAGCCAGTGCCCTTAGCACCCTCCCCCCACCCCCACCTCATGCTGCTTCTGTCTGCCTGGTTCTGCTGCTTGGTTGGCCCTGTTAACCTGGCTCTCCTGTCTTCATCTTCCAACTGTGGCTCCATTTTCCCTGCTAGCTACAGACCTTACCCTCTGGCTCTAAGGTCAGAGTCGCTGGACTCTCCCCTCCCCTGGTTGAGGATGTGGCATGGGGCAGGGAGACTGCTGGTCCTTATCGCACAACTCAGCCCCTGCCCCTTGCCCTTCGTCAGAGCCCGGGGCTGTTCTCCACCAGCTTGAACGCTCCCAGTGCTGTTTGTGCTGCACGACGTAAGACATACCACAGACTCAGGCGGCTTATTATCTATTTTTCTATTTTGTCCTTCATGTTTCTGAAGTAGACATTTGCCTCTGCTCTAAGAGAGTAAGTTTCACAACCCAGCTGGCTGTGAAGGGGCGTGTGCGGGTAAGAATGTGCGCGGGTGCTTTTATGGCAATGCCTTGGGGCAGCCCACGTGATTTCCACTGACATTCTCTCATCTAAAACCAGTCACGGCACTCAGCCTAAGTTCATAGGGAGCTGGGAGACTTCATGTAGCTGTGTGCCCGGGAAAAAGGGGGAAGGGGCTTTGTGGATCAGCAGCCTGTGCGGGAAGCAGGGAGGCCAGCGTACTGGACAGAGGATGGTGTTTGGGGAGAGGCGGGCGGGGCTGAGGCAGTGGTTCTCCCCCAGGACAGAAAGCAGGTTCCCGGGGCGGGAAGAGGAGACAGGCAGGCTCGGCCATAGTGCTGAGGGGAGTGGGGAGGCTGTTGGGGTGTGAAGGTGAGACACCCTCAGGAGATGTGGCTGTGAGTAGTTTCGACTGCCATGACACCAGAGGGAGAAGGACCCAGGCTGCCAAGGCCGCCCTGTGGCCACTGGGAGGAATCCCGCCGGGACAAGAGCAGGGAGGCCTGGGGCATGTCGATGGTGGCTGTGGGGGCAGATGTGGGAGAAGGCTGGGGCACCTGGGCGGGGGGACCGCGGGGGGACCAGGCTTTGCCTTGGAGGTGGACGTGGAGAGGAGGAATGAAGGGGTCAGTAGGACTGAAGGCGGGAATGTGAGGAAGGAGACAGATTAGAGGCTGGGAAACAAGACCAGCTGACTGGATCTTCTGGGAGATTACCGTGCTGGGGAAAGTAGAGGCGAGGGGACATGACCTATATTCTCCTTTGAGCTGGGAAGGAGTGAAAAACATGAGTGTCCGCTCGAGCTCACAATAAAACAGATCTGTGGGAGAACATCTCTTTGTGGTCGTGAAAGGGAAGCACCTCAGCCCATTGTACTTGCTCCATGAACAGCCATCCAGTGCGTTAAGTGAGCCCAGCAGACCTGACAGGGACTTCCCCGTCTCCCAGCAGCCGGGCCACGTGGTGGGGTGCTGATGGTGCACAGATTTTAGTTTGTCATCACTTACCTTCGGCCTCCCCTCCCCACCCCAGGATCCATGAGGGCCCCAGTGGAGCCAGGGCTGCAGCCACAGAGGGCCCCAGCTTCCTGCCCCTGCCCAAGTCTCTGCCAGGCCCTCTCCCTGTTCTTCACCACTTTGCATTTGCTTCCCCCTCTTCTCAGGATCAGGGCATCTGTGTCCCCGGTTCACCCCCACCCCCCTCTGCCCCCTTCCTGCTTGGGTTCCTCTTTCCCCAGGCCTGCAGTTTCTCAGCTCTTCCATCCTGCTGTTTCAGAAAAAAACAGAAACTCATGCTTTCCCCCTAAATACCACCCACATCTCTTTTGAGTTTGGCTTTCCGCAGCAGGCAGTGAGGCGCGCAGAGGATGTGATGACCGGAGTGGTACAGGCGGACAAGCTGAGTGCCCGGGCTGCCATGCCCAACCGCTGAGAGCTTGCTGAGCACTGGTCTTGGCTGCAGGAGGGGATTTTGATTAACAAAATGTATGAGAGTTAAGTACTATTTCAGTGAGCAGTAGACCTCATTATATCCTCCGTGTGATAGGTGACAGAGGCAGTGCAGAGGGCCAGGTTGTAACAATTCTGAGCACCAGTGTTAGAACAAAGTAAAAGTCATCTAGGTTTGGCACTCCTGCTTCTTATGTTTTTCTTTCTTATGTTATTACCGTTTAGTGACTAAAAGCCATGAAGGATATTTCGAGTTCCAGTGTGTGTTCTGTTGCTTCTCTTAGTGGGTCGCCTGTCATACAGTTGCCTTCCCTGAGCCCTTTGGAGGGTTAGTGACAGTGTTTCTGGAGACTGTGTGGACAGATACTTCCTTCGTGAACTGAAACTTCTTCCACTACAGAGCTGTGGCGCTAGTGGTAAAGAACCCGCCTGCCAGTGCAGGAGACTTAAGAGACACTTGATTCGATCCCTAGGTCGGGAAGATCCCCTGGAGGATGGTGTGGCCACCCACTCTGGTATTCTTGCCTGGAGAATCCCATGGATGGAAGACCCTGGCGGGCTATACGGTCCATGGGGTCACAAAGAGTCGGACATGAACTCAAGCAGCTGAGCATGAGAGACCATTCTGAAACTAGTTTCCATTTTACCATGTTGAGATGATGTCTCATGCCTGTTTTTCTGCATCAAGTGGATAGTTATCCTCCAAGTTTGATAGATGGCAGAAGAGTTTGGCACCTGGAGCAGCAAAGGAAATACTAAATTCAGGGGGATGGAGTCTGGGGTCACAGAGTTAGTTTCCTGCTCTGGAATTCAGCAGTGACCTTGACTGAGAAGGGAGGCAGATGATGGAAGGAACACTGAGCTTGTGTTCAGAAAGCTGAGGCTGGAGAAACTTAAGCTTCTCAGGTGAACATAGGCATGACCTTAGTTGTGTGGACCTCTGACTCGTCATCTGTAGAAGTGAAGGGCTGGACCAGGTGATGTATCCGAGATCCCTTCTCCTTGGCAGTTGCTGTGTTCTGACACCTGGCAGAGGCTCTTGGCACATCAGACTTCAGGATGTCGCTCATGTGAGAAGGATTTTTTTAACCATGAGTCTTCCTTTCCTTCAAGAGTTTATAATTTGGGGCATCTGCATTCATTGAATTTGAAGCTTAGGAATGGAGGTATTGAGACATTGTCTTTATAACATTTGTGTAACTGGAAAGGTCATAGCTTTCATTATGCCCTGGTCTTTGTGATTTTGGTTTCTTCTCTTAATGTGCATCTGCCCTTATTCAAATTTAAAATAGCTAGCGAGCATCTCAGGGGAAGAGAGCAGAAGCTTGTGGTTGGTTTGTCACTCTCTGCTGGGTCTGCCTGAGAAGGAAATGACACCCCACTCCAGTACTCTTGCCTGGAAACTCCTATGGACGGAGGAGCCTGGTGGGCTGCAGTCCATGGGGTCGCTAAGGGTCAGACACAACTGAGTGACTTCACTTTCACTTTCACTTTCATGCATTGGAGAAGGAAATGGCAACTCACTCCAGTGTTCTTGCCTGGAGAGTCCCAGGTACGAGGGAGCCTGGTGGGCTACTGTCTTTGGGGTCGCACAGAGTTGGACACAACTAAAGCGACTTGGCAGCAGCAGCAGCTGGGTCTGCAGTGCTATCTTTCCCTTTCTTGGGCAGCAAGAGTCTATGCTAGAAATCAGGCATGGCTGTCTTCAGACTCCATGCTGGAGAGAACTGCAACTATTGTGGGCATCCTTGATAGACTTCAAGAAAGCTACCTTACCCTCAAAGGGTTCTCCAGACCTACATGCCCAGAGGTACCTCAGCAGGTGTCATTGAGGCCCTAAAGGTCTGGGATAATGACAGGGCTTGATTATATAGATAAATCTATCTTCAAAGGATGTTGAACACATGAGAGAAGCCCCTGGGACTGCTCCAAGTAGCAAGAAAACCGAACTCTGAAACAGGAGAAGGTTGACAGACATGATAGATTTGGATGGCCCTGAGGCTAAGTCTGGGTTTGGTATGAGTGTCATGGTTGCTGTCCGTTGCTGCCCGTGAAGCTGAAGCTGCTGAGCAGGGGGCCCCCTGTATTGTCACATTGCTGACATGGTTGGCACTTGTAAAGTCATCCTGCAAGTGGCAGTTTTTATGTGGTCAGTAGTGGTTCTCATGCTGGCCAACTCGGTGACAGGAGTTCATGGTCTTTCCTGCTGGTGCAGCAAACTTCAACGAAGCCTTGTGCATTGGAGTGAAGTTTGCCACAACCTTGAAGAATTTTAAAGCTGTTACCAATGAGGGGAATGAAGAAGGCTAACAACCTGGAAAATAAAGAAGCCCCGAATAGAGTCAGGAAAGCCAGCTACATAAACAAGGCTGTAATGGGCTCTCTGTGGCTGCCTGTCAGCTCTTCAGGTCTGGGAAGCATGTCCTGGACCTGAAAGTCTCCTGATGAACTCAGCAGGGGAGCAACAGGTGGCTTTGTACCTGTCCTCCCTTGGGGACTGGTAGTGTCTAGCAAAAGCAGCCTTTGAGCAGATTGACTGGGCAGCTTGGATGAAGTTCATTGCTGGTGCAGGTGTCCATGCATCACAGGATGATCTTGCTGATGTAAATGGCTGAGGCTGTGGATGAGGAATCATGCAGCTGTCTCCCACTTAGGGTGAAGCAGTTTGATTCTGTGACATTGTCTATTCCAGAATGCAGGCTGCACCAGGCCAAGAGGAGGGATGTTGGGGTACCCATCACTCTGGGGAGACCAAAAATGCTTTCCTCGCCAGCCTGGTGGTGGGGATGTGCACTGGTCTGATCAAGACATGTGCACTTTGACAGTCAGAACTGGGTGGAGGACAACCGGTTCCTCAGGATTTGAGGAGCTGGCAGCAAGGCCCAGTGTGCTGGCAAGAAGTTCAGAAATTCCTTAGCCAATTAAGCTCTGAGCAGCAGCCCCTCAGCCCTTTCAGCTCTGGACAGCTATTCAGTAATTCAACCTCTGCTTCACACAGCTTAGGACAGCAGATCCATACCTGTAAGGCCCTTAGGAAGGTACCTCTTCTTTCCCCTATTGCTGTGATTTTTTTTTTTAAACTGCTTCATCAAAATTGCTTTATCAGAGCCCAGCTTGACTGCACAGAATCCAGATTTGGAATCTTGTAATTTCTAGAATAATCATTTTTCTCAGCTTGTTCCACAAATATTTTTGGAGCCATTTATATGTATATTTATTGTGGCATCCCTGAGGTTGTTGACAGGCAAGATATCCTGTTATGTCAAGAGTTCAGTATACAAAATTTAAAAAAAACATTCAGTTATAAACAAACAAAATCACAGAAGCTCAGTACAACACATCTGGTTTTACTTACTTGAAAATACTTCAAAGTCTCCTTGACTCCCTGGTCTTGACTCTTGCAGAGGCCCTACTGGGCACCTACTGGCCTTGGGGTACTGTCTGAGTGACAGCTACTCGGCCACTTGTATCTTTCAAAATATTTAGTTATGCAACTTTTGACCATATCAGTTATTTTCTTCTTATCAGGTAGACAGGCACATTTTTTTAAAGAAGCATTTTGACCATTAAAATAACAGTGCGGCCAAATGTTTTACTGTGTGTGTTTACAACTTAAAAATGCTTCCATATCCAGCACCTCAGTTCATCATTTAATTCTCATAATACTCCGTGAGGCATTTGGGGTGGGGGTGACCATTTTGTCCACTTTTGGGAAATGGAATGTAGAGATTCCAAGGTCGAGGGGTGATGATGAATCCACAGCCTGAGATGCTCTGGAGCCACCCTGACAGCCCCCTGCCCTCTTCCCCTGTGTCCGTGCCTCCAGGACTTCGGCAGCCCACGGTCGGTCACCTCCCGGTGCGACTTGAAGGCGAACTTGATCAGGAATGGCTGTGGCGGCGAGTTTGAGAGCCCGGCCAGCAGCACCCAGGTTCTGCGGAGCCTGCCACTCAGCAGCAAGGGCTCCAGCCCAGCGGGGTCCGATGTCATCCAGCTGACACCGCAGGAGGTCACGCTGACCCTGAGGCCCGGTGAGTACCCTGGGGTAGGCCAGTTCAGGATGGTGGGAAGAGAAGCCTGGCAGGGGAGGGCGGTGGGAGGCATGGCGCAGACCCGGGGAAGGGAGGGCCAAGGCCTCTGGGATAATAAAGAGTATCTTTGCTATTTTAAAAATTGTGGTGAAATATACGTAACATACAATTTGCCATTTTAACCATTTCTAAGTGTGTAGGTCAGTGCCATTAATTGTACTACAAGTGTCGTCTAACCATCACCACTGTCCATTTCCAGAACTTTTTTCTTTTCCCAGACTGAAACTCTGAACCCATTAAACGCTAACCCCTCACTCCCTCTCCTCGTCTCCCCCGCCCCCCAGTCCCTGGTCGCCACCATTCTACTTTGTGTTTGTGAGTTTGACTACTCCACATACCTCATACAAGTGGACTCAGATATATTTGTCTGTTTGTGGCTGGAGTATTTCACTTAGTGTAACATCCTCCAGGTTCATCCATGAGGTAGCGTGTGTCAATTTCCTTCCTTTTCAAGCTGAATAGTCCTCCATTGGCTGTGTAGACACAGTTGTTTATCCATCCACCCATGGATGGGCTCTTGGCTTGTTTCCACGTTTTGATTGTTGTAATAATGTTCCTGTTTTCGATGGGAGGATGCTGGTATGTTTACTCCTTAGTTCATGCAAGTTTCTAAGGGAATGTGCTACCTCCAGGAGAAAGTATTTTTTCCAGTCAGCAAATTTGAATTGGTGGCATTCTGAAGTGACAGACTTGCAGAGTAGAGATATTTTTTTCTTTATGATCTTGGAACCTCTGCCTTGGAGTTGATTGTGATATAAGGGGACTAACAGTTTTTGCACACATACTATGTGCTAGTTACTTGACCTACCCAAAGGTAGCAGACATAATTTTACACCCAAGGAGCTGTGTGCTCAAGGGCTCGCAGGCAGAGCAGCGAACCTAGTTCAGTGTTGGGTCTTTGTGGTTGCACAGCTCATGGTTGTTTCTTGCTAACCACTTTTGTCGCCTCATATTCTACACATGAGGTCCCTTGTGATGTCAAGGGAGGGTGTGAACATGGCCAAATTAGAAAGTACCACATTGTTGAGAGAAGGCAGCCTTTTCCCCCCGAATCCCGTTGACTTTTAGTCTCTTCTTTCTCATTGTCTAGGAAGCCACTGGCAATAACCATTTCCAGATGGCTCATTGAGACTTTGGGGTGGCTGGGGCTGTGGGAAGCTGAGGGATCTGGTTGGCTGTCCGGGCTTCTGGTTCTAGCTCTCTTTCTGACCCAGGGCCCTGGGCAAGCTGCCCCATCCCTAGCATCTCAGGGTCTTTGTCACCTTCATTCCTCACAGCCCTATTCAGAGGCTTAAATGAGACTTTCTGTTTAAATACACTTTAAGAACTTTAAATTACTGTTTTCAAAACATGGCCAAAGATAAAGAAACAGATTTGGCGACAGCCACATCTCTGTTTGGATAGAGATTCTCATATCTCAGAAACAATCTAGCATGGCCCTGCACATCGTAAGCACTCAGTCATGCTTCTTCAAGTTGTTGTTAGAAAGGACTCTGAGCCACTGTGCATCTGAGAACTGTCTTCTTTCACCTACTGACTTGTCTTGGAAGTAAGAAACAAAAGAAGGGTGTCAGTGGTCCTGCTGGATATAAAGCAGTGTGAACTGCTGCACAGCCCAGGGCTTAGTGCTGGGATTAGCTCAACATACTGTTCTTACAAGTCATCTGACTGGAAGGGACACTTGGCCTCGTGTTTAGTGAGGTTCCGAGCTAAGAGAGAGAAGGGAGCCCTTTCCGAACTGTGCGAGTGGGTAGAAGAGAGGAAGCTGAGTGGGCAGATGTTCGATGGTATCCTCTGGGGAAAGATGAACGCCTCTCCTCACGTTAATCTTTGATTTCAGACTCAAGGTCATGGGTTCTGACCTAGAAGGGGGACATAGGCAGCCTTGTAGACTAGCAAGTTATCAGAATGCAACGTATAATCAGAATTGTTATTGACTAACGTAAGTGGTGTATTTCCTTTTTTATCTTAATAACTGTGTAACAGGGACTTCAAGAAAAGCCTTGAAAAATCATCCACTTTAACACTGTTATTTTTCATTTTTGCTAGATTTTCTGTCTTTATTCATGTGTTTGTATTGTTCATATGCTTATGATGTATATATTACTGTGTACCGTTTTCAGTCAGTTTTTGAAAACAAAGATCAAAATTAACACCTCTAAAAGAGTTTGAGGGTCATCATTGAGGGACGTTTTTATTTTAGGAACTCCTCATCTAGAATTGCTCTGAGCCTGTGCTGCTCTCTCCAAGAAAGATTCCTTATGGGGGTGAATCCTTATTCTTTAGGGTATATTTAGTTTAGGGAGAGGCTGGAGGTCACACAAAGCCAGAGATGTAGCAGTTTCAATTCCAGTTTTTAAAATCAGAATTAAGGTGTGGCTCTAAGGCAGAGAGACTGTTGTTTGGTTTGACCTATCAATTAGCTTTTGAAACAGACCCCAAAGAAATGATTTGAATAAAGGGAGCCTCCTTGTGCAAAGGTCTCATAACGTTCAGTTTATGCACAATGCTTATTTACGCACAAAGCTCAACATACACTCAATTAAAGAAAGAAAGCAGTCTTATTTGGTGTAGTTACATCTGTCACTAAGCATTGTGATTCAGTTTCCAATATTGAAAATAAAAATACATGATTCTGTGTTTATACAATATCATGATGTGAGGACTGTGTGCAGCTCTGGTCCTACAGAAGGTGCAATAATGGAGAGCCCATTGCAGCCTATAGAGATGAAGATGAGGAGGAGACCTGATGAAAATCTGAATTCCTAGAGGCCTAGATCCTCATGAACACGTTTCTTTCTCAAATATAGAAACATGTGATGCCAATGATGCCTCTTAAAATTTTGAAAATTTCAGTATTAATAAAGAGAAGTACAGGCAAACCCCAGATATCTTTATTTGTTTGGGGAAAGAGAAGAATAATATGTTGTAATTAGCAACATTTTCAGTTTCCAAGTGCATACTTATTTCAAGGTAATGCCTCTCTGACTCTGGGGAAGGCATTCAGGTATGCAGCGATTGGTTTCTCCATTGTGTATTTTCAGAAATGCTTTTGTGTCTCCTTTGCCCTGCTTCCCCATACCTCATGATAGGTGTTTGTTGAGTGAAATGTGTAGCACTTTATTAGCTTTATGCCAGACTAGTCAAGGACAAGCTTTGGCACTATATGTGAGGTACTTCACCCAGGCAAGGTGATTATTCCAGAATAAGCCTGGAAGAAAAAGAACAATTTTCCCCTTTTTAAAGCAGAATTTTTTTAATTTTATTTTGTTTTTTAATTGAGATATAACTCACATACTGTATAACTTACCATTTTAAAGTATACGATTGAGTGGTTTGTAGTGTATTTGCAAAGTGGTACAGCATCACCACTACATGATTCCAGGACATTTTCATCACTACAAAAAGAAAATCCTGTAGCCCTTAATACTCTTTATTCTCTCCCTCCCCACCACATGCATTCAGCCCCTGACAACCACTAATCTGTTTTCAGTCTCTGGGGTTTTGCTTACTTTTCATTTCATTTAAATCACATAATACGTGGTCTTTTATGTCTGGCTTCTTTCACTTAAGCAAAATATTCTCAAGATTCACTGAATCTGTAGCATATATCAGGACTTCATTCCTTTTTATGGCCAAATAATGTTCCACTGTATATGTATAGATATACCACATTTTAGTTGATGAATATTTGGGGCTGTTTTCACTTTGGGACAATTATGACTAATGCTGCTGTGAACATTTATGTAAATATCTTTGTGTGGACATATGTTTTCAGTAATCTTGAGTGTATAGCTGGGAGTGGAATTGCTGGGTCATATGGTAATTCTGTGTTTAACTTTTTGAGGGACTGCCAAACTTTAAGCAAGATTTTGTATAAACACAAGATCATGATTTCCATTCTGTTTCCAATCCTGGAAACTGTATGTCAGGATAAAAATCTTAAGAAAACCTTAATGAAGAACATAAAATCCCTAAGAAAAAACGTAAACTTTAGAATAAAGCATAATGAAATGGTGAAAAGCTAGGGGTGGAGCAATTAGAAAGGGTTTACTTAAGTCTTGATTTGCCACAATCAATTAGCGTCTTAAAAAATGACCTCTGATTGGCAGCTTTAAAGCATTTTTTTTAATGTTTTATTTTGAAGTAATTTTAGAGTCATAAGAAGTTGCAAAAATAATAGAGAGTCCCTGTGTACCCGTCTCAGCTTTCCCCAAGGATGACTTGTTACATAACTGGAGTGTGTTATCAGAGCCAGGAAACTGACCTGGGATTGTGCTGTTAACTGCAGAGGATGGGTTGCTTTTGAGATAGGTTTTTTTCCATCCCTGCATATACTGCCTTTCTGCCCTCTCTCACATTCTGATTGGAGATGGCACGTGCCTGACTTGGGTATTGCTTCTGCTCTCCAGACTGACAATACACACACTTAAAAACACTTGATGATGGGTGGATAGTGCTTTGCTGTGGGCTGAATGTTTTTATCTCTCCAACATTCATATGCTGAAATCCTAACCATCTAACGTGATAGTATTAGGAAGTGAAGTGGGGCCTTTAAGAGGTGATTGGGTCATGGGGTGGAACGCTCATGAATGAGATTAGTAGTATAAAAACAAAACAAACCCCCAAAACCCCAGAGGGTTTTTCTGCCTGCTTCGGCAGGAAGTCTGTAGTCTGAAACCCAGAAGAGGGCTCTCATCAGAACCCAACCACACTGGCCTAGTCCTGGTCTTACACTGTTGTTAACTGTGAGAAATAAATTTATGTTGTTTATAAGCCACTTGGTCCATGGTACTTGTTATAGCAGCCCAAACTAAGATTATTTTCAAGGAAACTAAAAATGCTGAACCCTAATTGCTTGGCGTCAGGTACCATGAAGGTCAATAAGGTCTTCTGATTGTTCCATCTGTTAAGAGTCAGAATTCTGAGGAGGGGGAGTAACGTTTGGTGCAGCACCCAGCCTTGTTCTGGGCCAGGGAGGCAATTCTTTATGGGTCTGGATTTAATTCTGAATCTTAATTGCCTTCTGCTTCAGTGAGCAGAGAGCTGGGTGATAGTCTTAGAAGTTGTGTTCTGGGGCCCTAATTCCCTGTTCAGCTGTAGTCCGTTTATAATGTAGCTGATTTTAATGTTTCTTTCAATTTCTAGCACAGAAGTATAATTCTAAGGAATCAAAAACTACTTCAATGGGGATAGTGAGAGTGTTTATCTGTTAGATGCTACTTTGTTTAAAATATTTGAACAAAAATCAATCTTAGGAAAACTAAAAGTTGTTGCTAGAATTCTCTGCTTTCATTTTCTGGGAATGTTTGTCATCTGGTATATGTTCCCAGGAAAAATAACTTCACTTTTTATTGGAGGGAAGACAGAAGAAAGCTTTAAAAATAAATTTCAGAGGGAATGCTGGTAGATACTTGATTATGGAGGGAGAATCTACACTTAGGAACCAAGCAGTGGCATGAGTTCTGTGTGCAGAGTACAGCTGAGGCTGGGTGAACTAGAAACTGGAAGAACCAGAGGGGCTGCAGGAGTAGCTATGTTCTCACAGGTGTGAGGTGATCAGCTTTACTTTGGGGTTTGTTTTATCCTATTTCTCTGATTCTGCTGCTGGTCCCAAGGCGGGGATTTTGTGGACTGGCCCCAGAGAAGAGGACGACAGCCACACAGGGAGAAGAACCTACAGGGGTCTTATGTGGAGGGGGAGGAGGGGGACGTGTGGGCTGGGCTGGTGTCACCAGAGACAGGCACAGACTGGGCGCCCGCAGTGGAGGTGAGCCCAGCTCCCAGCCTGCTGGACTCACAGGAAGTGGCGAATGGTTTAAAGTCTCAGGTGGTGCCAGACTGGGCGGCTGTGTTTATTATTGAGTGTGTCTAAGTGGCTCAGTCGGTAAAGTGTCTGCTTGCAGTGTGGGAGGCGAGAGTTTGATCCCTGGGTTGGGAAGATCCCCTGGAGAAGGAAATGGCTACCCACTTCAGTACTCTTGCCTGAAAAATCCCATGAACAGAGGAGCCTGGTGGGCTCCATTTCATGGGGTCGCAGAGTTGGACATGACTGAACGACTTCACTTTCACTTTCAAGTGTACTTGGTTCCAGAAGTGTACTCAAAGATGGAGAAGGTGCCCCAGACCCTCTCCTGGCAGAAGGTACCCCTGGCCTGCAGCAGTGGCTTCACCTTCAGTCAGCTAACCATGGGCTCTCCCTCATTAGGGAGTTGGGCACTGTAGCTTAACTCCCACACTTAGCACCCACGCTGAGAACTGGTCCAGAGGTGTCATCCCTCCAAAATCTGCTGTTAATTGAGTTCAAGTTTATATTGCTTGCTGTGTAACAGGCCAGTAAATCGAGATGAGTTGTTGGGACAAGGAATAATGACTTTATTCAAAAAGCCAGCAGACCAAGGAGATGGTGGACTAGTGTCCCAGAGAAGCATCTTCCCTGAGTTAGAATTCAGGTTTCGTCCCTAATGGCTCGGCTGGTAAACAATCTGCCTGCAATGCGGGAGACCTAGGTTTGATGCCTGGGCTGGGAAAAGCCCCTGGAGAAGGGAAAGGCTATCCACTCCAGCATTCTGGCCTAGATAATTCCGTGGACTGTATAGTCCATGGTGTCGTAAAGAGTTGGACACTACTGAGCGACTTTTGCTTTCACTTTTATACTGAAAGGAGAGGAGGTAAAGTCTTGGTTCTCTCCAGGCTTCAAAGGAGATGTTTTGATTTCTTCCTTCCTGCAGCCATTCACAGCTAAGCCTGGTTGGGATGTTTCTTTCGAGCAGATAAGCAATGGTACCTGGGATGGTACCTCAGGGTTCCCTGAGATGGGCCAGTGTGTGTAATTTAAGTTTATAGACAACATCCCTTTTAATTTGCGACAAAGGTTCTTCCTCTGTTACATTGACAGAAATTCCATTATTGTCAAGGACTACTGAGGAGTTTGTAGCATTTAAAATCCACCATAGGTAAGGTAGCCATAAACCCTTATTTTGAACATTAATGATTTAACCCTTTTTTATATACTCCATTTTTGGAAAACTTGGAGAGAAAATTTTTTCTTTCTTTTTTTTTTTTTTTTTTAGCATTTGCAGCCTCCCTTTGGGGAGGGGTGTGTGTGTGTGTGTGTGTGTGTGTGTTTTAGTGATTAGCTCTCTTAGAATTTACTGGGAATAGATTTCTTCAAAATAGAGAACCTCTTGCATACAGAGAGACCTATGTATCACATCTTGTTTCTCTGTTTGCCTTCATGTCTGGAAAATTTGGAGTTAAGTATAATACCCAAGGTTGTTAGCCATTCACACTCAAGTTTTTGGCAGAATGTTCTGTCTCTCTTTTTAGCCCCACAGGAAATTGCTTTAATAATTGACTTTCAGGGGACCTGGGGTTGAAGTTTTTCTTGCATAGAAGCATTTGTACAGTGTTTATATATATATATATATATATAGAGAGAGAGAGAGAGAGAGAGAGTCTCCTCCACACCCACAGTAATGAACATCTTCCCCATTTTACTGATCTAGAAACTGGGCAGCAAGTTTAAAGGAGTCTGAGGTCTGGAATCCTTGGTGACAAGTTCTGGATTCCAACCCGGCTCTTGCTGTCCAAGGCTAATGTCCACTTCCCTCCCATGGGTGCCTCCCAACCTCTCTGAATCCAAGCTGGTTCCCTGTTTGCTGGTCCTAAAGTGCTCATCTGTTAACTGTTCATAATCCCCCCAAAGGTGGAAGCAGATTCTGGATTAAAGAAGGTGTACCTGGGAACTTGGGGGAAGGGCACAGGTCAGAAAAACACAGAAGACCCTGCAAAAAGGTCCATAGGCTTGGATGGAGGGGACATGTTCGCTGGCCCCTGCCCCTCCTCGACTGTGGTGTGGCATCCAAGGATAGGAGGGGCCCTATGCTGAGAGCTGTTCTCTCTGCCTCATGGGAACCAGAGACAGATACTGTAGCAGGCTGGAATTCATTCTGGAAGAAATCTCGAACATTCCTCTGAGTCAGACTCCAGTGGTTTTTAAAAATAGACTCATACCAACAGGCAGCCCAAAGTACATCAATCTCCAGGTGGCTTGAGCAACACATGCAAGGACAAGTCAGGGGAAGCAGGCTGGGCTCCGCCACTCAGGCTACAGTGGTAATTATAGTAATCATTCTGCATTTGGGCAGGCCTTCACTGCTTACAGGACTCTCCTTCCCACACGAGTGCTCCATAGACTTAACGCTGGGTGCTGTTATTGCCATTTTACAGTTAAGGAAATGGAGATTTTGTTGGCATCCCTAGTTAAGGGGCAAAGCTGGAATTTGGACTAAAATCTTTGGGTTCTTAGATTTTTCACGGTCTAATTGATGAAGTATGCCTCGTCTGGGATGGGAGGAGGGGAGGGAGACCACTGGGTCTCCTATCCTGCAAGTTCAAGAAGGCTTCAACCCACTGGTTGTCAGTTGGAGGTGAAAGATTGGTTCCTCTGAAATGTCTCTGCCGGCAGATGAGGCGTGGACCCTCACGTGGGAGCAAAGTCACCTTTGACGTTGCACCTCTGAACACAGGAAAGTAAATCCACATTTCAAATGTGTGTGGACAGTTCTGCGCAGAGTTCAAAGACATCGCTTGGTGTCTCTGGGAGGCTAATAATTGTGATGGCAGATAGAATCACCTGGTAGGATTTACTTCTTGAAATTATGTCTGAACAGTGTGTTTTTAGAGGTTATGAAATGATGAAGGATCATTGTCCTGGCATGCATCCCCCAGTTATTGCGCTGACTTGGGCCTTTCTGCATAGCCCGTGGGGCAAGCTTGCAGAGGCCACGCCTCCCAGACACTGCCTTTTTCTCTTTGTTCTTTTCCTCTGAATCAATTTCTTTTTCCTTTGTCTGTTGACTGTCTTCTTATAGAACTAAAAACTGTTTTCTCTCTTGTAGCTGTAGATAAATCTAATAGTATTTCTTTTATTTTTTCTTTTCTTTTTGATGGTGCTAAAATCTGTAATATTCTCATATTTATACAAATTATTTATGATAATGATTTGTGTCTGCAATGTCAAATATGCCCTAGAACTAAATACTATTGTTTGATAAATGGCTAGAGAGATAGAAATAGGTGACACAGTATAAGCGTAAACATTTTTGCCCTTCTGGGGATATTTTAAGTAACCATCTTTGTTTTCCCACTCCCCCTGGCCTTCTCCTCTCCATTGCCACCTCAGTTTTTGTATCTGTACCCTTCTTTTGTTAATTCCTTTCCTGTTTTCTGTTTCACACACACCTTTATAGTCTCCTGGCCATACTCCCATCTTGGTCAGTCCTTTCTCTGAAGTTGGTATATGGTGGGTGGACTACTTTTACCCAGTTTGTGTCCATGGAATTGTCTGGTTCACTATCCACCAATTACCTAAAGTCGTTTTTGCTAAGAAAACAGAACACTGCTAAGGAGACTCATTCTTAGAGTTTCCTTAAAAATTGCTGAGCCCTGTGTGTGAAAGGAGTGGCTTCCCTAGTGGCTTAGATGGTAAAGCGTCTGCCTGCAATGCGGGAGACCTGGGTTTGATGCCTGGGTGGCAAAGATCCCCTGGAGAAGGAAATGGCAATTCATTCCAATACTCTTGCTTGGAAAATCCCATGGATGGAGGAGCCTGGTAGGCTGTGGTCCATGGGGTTGCAAAGACCCCATATGTGTGAAAGGAAAACCTAGAGCTGCATCCTTAGCACCCGTATTCCATCAGTCACTCTGCTTCCAGGAAAAAGATGTCTTCCAAGAGGCACATGATCACTAAAGAAAAGTCACGGGTGGACTGGCTTTGAAAGCAAAACCCATCCCTCTGCCCCAATAAACTGTATGACCTCTAACATGCATGGTCTCTCGGTTGGCACAGGTGACAAGACTACGTTCCAGCTGCAGGTTCGACAGGTGGAGGATTATCCTGTGGACTTGTACTACCTGATGGACCTCTCTCTGTCCATGAAGGATGACCTGGACAACATCCGGAGCCTGGGCACCAAGCTAGCCGAGGAGATGAGGAAGCTCACCAGCAATTTCCGCTTGGGGTTTGGGTCTTTTGTAGACAAGAACATCTCTCCTTTCTCCTACACAGCGCCGAGGTACCAGACCAATCCATGCATTGGGTGAGTGACAACCACCCTTCTCTTGGGTATTTAAAGATGGAGGAATGGTTCAGCAGGAAGACTGAGCCTAAAGAAAGGCCTAGGGAGGTCATATCTGGGTGGGGGAGGGAACCTGGCTTAGGTGTTAAATTTGCTGAAGGATGTTCTGGCTCTGTTCTCCTCTGCTTGAGAAGAAAGAAGTTGTTACAAGGCTGTGTAACGCTACAGTGATGATATAGCTCATTTGTTTTCCTGCCTGCCTGACACAGCACTGTTTTCTACGTTAGTAGATATTAGAGAGTGTTCTCAGGAGGAGATGGACCCCGATAATCAGGAGCAGGCAGAATAATTTAAACTTTCTCCTTGTTTAGAGTAACTCAGATGTTTGGAATAAGTGAATTCAAAGTCTGTTCCTGTCGTTTATGTAAATAACTATAACTTACCTTGACAAAACAAAATGAAAACCCTGGCTTTTATAAGTGTTATTTTTTTTTTTTTCTGACATAAGTACTTGAATTAGAAAAGATTTGACACATTATTAGAGAACGGCAGTTTCTAACTACCGCAATGAACAAATCTGAAAAATTATGTTAACATAATTTTTCAAGCTCAACATCAAGCTTGATGGAAGTTTATTTCCTGAACTCACCTAAGGGCAAATGGGTCTCCAGATCAGTGGACACCTGTCCTCTAAGCAGTGACTTGGGACCCAGGCTCCACTGGCTCATGTGTGGCTTGTAAGGTCATCATGCCTCAAGGATTGCTCCTAGGAGGATACTATGGACCAGAACAGAGTGGCCTCTGCTCCTATGTTCGGTTCTGCAGCACTGGATTCTACAGGGAGGCTGGGAGCTAGTTTAGCTGTGCACAATAGAGGAGATAAATGAGTTGATGAATAGGTTTCTGCCCTGGTACATTTATTTGTGTATTGGAGGTGGAGGATCTCTTCCTCCAACTCCCCTAACACTAACTTTGTGAGGTGGGTTTGTTCAGATGGCAAGACTATGTGGTGTGACAACAATGAGTGATTCAACTTTTTTTTCTCTCTTCTCCATATTCATTTGGTTAGGCTTTGGCCTATGAGGCCCCAAAACAGTTACTAGAAGAGGAATAGGTAAGATTTAAGTTCTCACTAAGTGTCAGGCACCCACTGCACTTCATACCTTATATGGATTGTCTCGTTTAAATTTCCTAGCACTCTTTTGAGGTTTCTAAAGTAGAAGTGAGCTGTAGTTTTAAGATAAGGAAAATGAGGCTTAAAAAGAATAAATAACTTACCCAAGATTATACAAATAGTAAGGGGCTTCCCTGGTGGCTCAATCAGTAAAGAATCTTCCTGCAGACCCGGGTTCAATCCCTGGGTCAGGAAGATCCCCTGGAGAAGGGAATGGCAACCCACTCCAGTATTCTTGCTGGAGAATCCCATGGACAGAGGAGCCTGGTGCACTGTAGTCCATGGGGTTGCACAGAGTCGGACACGACTGAGGGACTAGCACTATCTATCCAGGCTTAGAATATGAATCAAGATGAACTACTTCCAGAGTCTGTTTCCATTAATGCTAAATTTTTCCCCCGCCACACAGTTGCTTTACTTGAGTTTCTGTGATAATACCCATTCCCAAACCACCCAGCCTTCAGAGCACTTGCCTAAGGGTCATGCTATCTATACTGCAGTAATAAGCAATCAATCCCCAGATCTCAGTGGCTCAACACAATGAAAGTTTATTTCTTGCTCGTATAGAATTTCAGGATAGCTGCTTTCTGTTGCAGCTCTTCTTCAAGGGGTGACTCAGGGATTCAGGCATCTTGTGATGTCATTTTTGATTCTTCGTCTCCTTGACTTTCCCTGAAGGGAAGAGGGCTGCTCTTAATTAAGCCCCTGAGCCTGTCTGTCCTCTTGGCTCCCGGTCGGCAGTCTCAGCAGTTGCCAGGTCTGGTTTGGGCTGGGTGGGGGAGGGGGCGAGGTGATGGTTATGCTGGTATTGTGTACACTCTTCTAGAAGCTAACTTAAATGTTCTCCAGGGATTGCAATAACACAATGGTGGAGAAAACAATAAGAACAAATTTTAGATACAGATGAGATTCTGAGCGCCTTAACCATGAAGAGGTACTGGGTGTCCTCATTTGAGAGGTTTAGCTTCCTCCTAGCCACTGGTGGCTGTGATGTTATTGTTACTTCGGTCCACTCCCCAAGTCCCCTGCGCCAGATCTTTTTGTTGGAGTTCTGTTACTTACCAGGAGCAACAGCATCTTAACCAAAAGTTTTCTCAATTCATCCAGAATGGTGATTCTTTCTGTTGCTTTTCCTCTCTGCCCTCTGGCTGGGCCCTGTCTCCGGACAGGCAGGGTGTGTCTGTACTTAGATTTTTTTCTGGGGACCATCGGCGAACTGTCAGATGCTAGATTGGAAGCTGGCAGAGGATGAAGGGCTGGCTCGGGGCCCTCAGCATTGAGTATTCAAGGTTATTACACTCTCATTCAGAGCTGCTTCTCCAAGCCCTAGAAGGCAGAACCAACTGCAGACAGTAGAAGTTTTGACAGTGAGTACAGGCACACTGACAGGCTGCTTGGGAGACAGGAAATCCGGTGAAAGAATGGGGGTTTGAAAGGAAACAGCAGGTCTGAGCTAGGCAGAGCCCTCCTTCCTAAGCTGGGCAGCACTTGAGGGAGTTGCTCCCTGAATCAGTGAGCAGGCTGAGAGAGATCTCCTGTGTCCAGGCAGTGGACTCCGCTGTCGCCTGGGTGTCCTCGGAGATCTCCCACCACCTCTGAGGGAGAGCAGGGCAAGAGGATGTAGGCAGGCTGTTTCTGCCCTTGATCCAGCCTGTACATGGGCTTTGTTTGCTTTCCTAAGTGTTAATGGCACTGCGGATTAGTTACCAACAGTTAAAAATAAAAGATTTAACAGAGAATGGCCAGGATTTCTAGGTTTTCTCCAAAAACTAGGAGGTCTGGTAAAGCCAGGCTGGTTTCACATGTTATTGGCTGCCACAGTCCCTACCACTCCCTCTTGTCTCCCAGCTGGTCTCATTCACTGGTTCTGTTACCGGGCCCTCTCTAGATTCTTGGATAGCAGTGCCATAGAAACAAATGTTACTCCCATAAGAGTCTTAGACAAGTAGAGCTTTTTATTGAAAGGATAGCTTGTGCATAAGAGAGAAGGTGGAAAAGAATGTCAGTTCCCCAAAGACTTTCTGATAAGGGGTTTTATAGGCAGTGTGAGGGAAGGGGGGCTGTGGTTTGCCTGATGAGCTTGTGGTCAGTTCTTAGATTGGTTGGCATCAGGGTGAGGTTTTGAGCATCATCACCCTTCTGGTTTTACAAGCTGTTTGGGGTCTGTGGGCCTGCAGTCAGCAGTTTTCAGCTGGTGGTGGGGCGGGCCTGCTTCCTGTAAAAACAACTTAGGAATGTGTGTCAAGCTTTTATCTATATCTTTCGGGGAACTGGGAGTTTGGCAATTCTGCTAGGTGGTAGATTTATGGTTCCACTTTTGTCTTTTGGAAACCATGTAAAGATAATCAGTGGAACAGAGATGGAGCTCATCTTTTACGCCCGTGGGTCTTTAGTTGTTGTCTCAGAAGCCCAAGCTTTTAGATGCTGTTCTTCTGGCTTGTGAAGCCCACTTGCTCAAGGCCTTTCACTCAGTTCTGTTCCAGAATGGCTCTAATCTTGTCTCCCTGTCTCATCTTGAGTTCTGTGCTTGGCTCTGTAGATGCTGTCTGGGATCCTTGTCTGTCCTTCTCCTTCCACTCACGTGGAAAGAAAATCATAGTGTTCTCCCTCGGTGGGACGTTCTGTTAGGTTTTTCTCCCTGTGATGGTGGAAGCAGCAGTAGTAGCCCCTGGAAAGTTCTGGGGAGATAGGAATCAGGAGGAATGATCTGACCACCTTTGCAGGACATCTCAGAAGAGAACCAGTTTCTCATGGGGCTTTCCTAAGGTGTGTCCCTCCTCCTGCTCCAGATGTTTCTGCCAAAGGATCAAAATCCTAGACTTATCTTCTCCTATCTTAGAATGAACCAGAAATGCCAGAACTGAAGTAAGTAGTACTAGGGCTGCCATAAGAAGAAAAAACAAAAAATAGTTTAATCATCAGATTAAAGAACTGTTTAATTCTTTAATCAGAGCTGCTGAATTTAATCAGCAGCTCTGGGTACTAGGAATACTGTATTCCTATTCTCTTCTGGGTAATAGGAATAGTGTCCTTGGGAAAAGTCACATCATATTCACTGATACAGGATTTGATGGATTAATCCAGCCTGGTATTTCTGGTTCTGAACCTTTTTCTTCTGTTAGAAGTATAGAAGCAGCTCATAGAAACAGACTATAGAGTGGTGGTTGCCAGAGGCTGGGGAGTTGGGGGTGGGGGAAAGGGGGAGAAGTTGGTCAAAGGGTGCAGACTTCCAGTTATAAGATGAACACATTCTGGAACTTTAATATACAGTGTGGTGGCGATAGTCAACAATACTGTATTTTAAATACATAATTGTATATTTGAAAGTTGTGAAGAGTTGTTAAATGTTCTCACCCCCACACACAAAAAGTGGAAGTACATATGTAAAAATCTTTGCAAATGAGATAACACATTTTGTCTTTCATCGTTTCTTTATTTTTTCCTTAACCCTTTGTATTTCTTCCAAGAGGTCATGGTACTCCTTTACCACCTCGAAGGTATTATTTTATTGTCTTCTGGCATGTTCTGTGGCTGGTGAGAAGTCTGCTGTCCATCTAATGGTTTTCCTTCTCTCTGGTAATCTTTAATATTTCCCTGTTTTTTCATGTCCTATACTGATAGGCACTCCAGTGTGGCTAGGTTGGATTTAGTACTTTTATTTGCGTTGTACAGAGTTTGCTCTGCTTGTTTAATTCGAGAATACAGGTCTCTTCTTGAAAATTTTCGGGCATCTGATTCTCTTCTCTGATTTTCTTCGTTTGCTTTCTAACACTACTAGGTGTGTGTTGGAGCCTTTCACTCAAAACATCATGTTTCTTAATTTTTCTTCCATGATTTCTATCTTTTT